AAAGCTTGTTTGACCAGGCAAAAATCTTGAACAAAAAGCTTATTTGACCTATGTTTTAGGTACTGTCCTGTGATCCCCACAGTACTGGTGAATGGTGCCGAAGGTATTGGTACAGCTTGGTCAACAAAAGTGCCCTGTTACAATCCACGTGAAATTGTCGATAATATTCGAGCAATGATTAATGGCGAAGAACCGAAATCTTTGGTAAGAGATTTAAATAAAAACCCAAAATTTTAATAAAAATTTCTTTGACTTTGAGATTTCACCATCCTCCAAATTAGCCTTGAGATCCTTAGGGGGTTTTGACAAACATGTAGAATTGATTTTCAGGCCCCTTGGTATAAAAATTTTCGTGGTACCATCGAGCAGCTGGATGAACAGCGATTTGTTTGTAACGGTGAAATTGCGATCATCGACAATGAAACAGTTGAAATCACCGAACTGCCAATTCGTACATGGACACAAACATACAAGGAAACTGTTTTGGTACCAATGCTTGATGGCAATGATAAACAGCCAGCTATTATAACGTAAATTTCGGAATATTTTTCGTGTTAACTTTGAGGTTTCTTTATTAAAACTAATGAGAAGGAAGAATTAAAATACAGTTAAGACCTCCATACATGGGACTTAGGCGTAAAAAGTGGGTGGTGTTATTAAAACGGGAAATTCGCACATGATGGGCACACATACATACCGCCAAAGTTTCAGCTTTCTAGCTTTTCTGGTTCTCGAGTTAAAGATGTGAGTGACGAAAAGTGTAAACACACAGCCTCTTGCCAATGTGCATTTTTGCATTTGCATATATATAAAAAGGCATAAAAAGTAGGGAAGGAGAGTTTTTTTCGGGGTTTTTTTTGTTGAGAAGGCAATAATGCGAATTGGATGTGTTCAAATATATTGCGTCCAGTTTGAAAGAAAAATCACGGTGCGGGATTAATGCCCTAATTTACAACGTTTCTGGGAGGAAGAGCAGCGCATGAGGCTAAAAATAGCGCCGAATCCGCAGCAAAAATGCCGAAGTACCTCTAGTTTCTATTCGAGGTCCCCTTGCCTTTTCCCTGAACCATGGACTATAGATTCTATTTTTTGAAAGTTCAGAGAGTATTGTTAAAATTTTCTGATCAGATAGATAAAGGCAAAGCTGAATTTCAGCTACTTTTATTTTATATCGAAAATCATCAAATATTTGAATTTTTAGAGA